GTTCAATTTTTATCTCACCTTTAGTGTTTGCAGGTAATTTCTTTTCTCTTTTCTATTCTTTCGCTACCGCGAGAGCCCCAAAAATCTAGTTACGTCCCTGCCAAAATAACGCAATGTTGCGTACGTACGAATAGAATTTTACATGAACGATTTTACGAAACTGAAAGTCACCGTTTCGTCCTCTCTCTGCGTTCCATTTCTATTTTGTTTTTGAAACTTCAATTCAAAAATTGAATAAAACCTTTGATTATTCAAATTGGCGACGATCAGTTTTCACTACTGATGGGATCGTTATTGCCTCGCAATTTTGAGTGAAACGATTGCAGAGAGAGCAGGGTAAATTAACCACTCTCGATGGAGGGAAGTAAGAAATTTTCATTCGAATTCGATGACAAAATAGTTATCGAACGATACTCCAAAGAAGGTCGGATCGACGAATTTTAAGAAGCTCATCTTTATGCTCGGTTCAATTTATTGTCAAACACGAGCATGAGTAACGACAAGACTATCATCGTGTACGCGTATAAGTTTCACTAAACGCCGTGAACAGATCGTAGCTGCCGCTACGATTACAGCGACTTCCATCATTGTGACGTAGCTTCTCAATCAGCTGACGCTCGGTCAGACGTTCATCTTTGATGACTGGCTTTCAGACACACGTACGACGACGCAGGCACCTCTCGTTGAACGATTTCTATCCCAACTAAAACGTCACGTTTTATTCTCACACTGTTGTCCAATTTTCTGGACCCGCTCCAATTTTACTTTCGATTTGAAACGTTTCCTTCGATATGATTTCAAGTTCTCCAATTTGTAAAGATCGTCTTCTATGGTAATTTTTTGGAAAGCCACGACTGCCTCTTTCGATTAGATATTTTAAAGATTCCTAGACTCGATTAATTTCTGTCTAAAATACTTTTGGAGAAGTCACACAGATACGTCATCATTTCGATCTGAAATATTTCGTTTGGATATTTGATTGATTTAAATGATTGAAAGTCACGGGGGACGGTATAAACGAGTCTTGGAAAGAATGAGAAACGACTAACGAACAAGATGAATTAAATGTGCCAATATTCTTACATCTTTGTGAAACTGAATACGTGTATGATCAGCTGATGACAAAACAATGCACCGATGCACCACAAAAGGTTTCGCGCTTTTGATTCTTTCTCGTTCGACCGACGATAAGGGACTTTTGTCCTCCTTCGAACGCGTCCGGCTATTTTTAAACATTCGGCATGCAGAAATGGGTACGGACAATAAAGACTAAGACGATGTAAGAGCATCGATTTGGACCGTGGAACATATCCAAACGCGTTCTATCGTGATTTTAGACCAGCACGCGAATACAAAGAATCGAAACGACGTTTTAATTCTCCGTGAAAATTAAAAACAACAAAAGAAAAAAAAAAGCTTCAACAATTACAGAGCATATGTTTTTATAAATTTTCTGCCGAGATCCTCAATTTTACAAATCCGACAAATGAAAATGAAAAATTCCAGGTGTCGTGACACGAACGTACGTCCGCAATGGTGGGCAAGCAAGCGCCTGCCGTTGGGATTCAAAAACTAATGGTTAGGTTAGGTTAGGTTTCCATTACGTGTGTATATAGGTACGATAAGATTATGTTCGCTTTTGCTAGCCTGTGTGAACTCTTCTATTGTATTAATCTCGTGCTACGCAGTAAGTCGTCGAATGTAATGGTTCCCTAGAATTTCGCGTTTTCTAGAACACATATAATACGTATGAGTCGGTGGCGACCTTGTTCGAGCGTCGAAATTCTTTGTTTATCGTTCGTTCCCCTAATATGGAAGTACGGAGAAAATGTCTTCTTACCTTTTTCTCGAGCAAAGCTTTCGAAACGCCTCCTCGGATTCGCAGAGGATTCGGTAACGCCGTGAATTAATTCCTTTTCGATAAATCGATACCTCGTACAATCTAGGACGAATTTCAAATACGATCGTTTCGACGCTGTGTGCCGTAGAAACTCGTAACCAAACATGGAAATCTTTCTTCGAGCTCTCTGTGTGTGCTGCGACGACGCGATGACGTAATTTCTCCACGTCGAGACAGATTCGTGAATGGTCGTGTAACTTTTTCACTGGGAACACTGCACCTCCGATCCGACCTGCGTTACATGACCAACACCAACGAGACACCCTTTGCGAATTCTTCGCGAGGAAGGGGTGACGAGAAAAGAAGGGTAACGACTGTTCGGGGCTGCTTCGTTTCGGAGCGCCGAAGTGAGAAGGGTAAATTGGTAGACGGTTCGTTTGCTACGTTTGGAGAAAGGGGGAAGCAGAGAAAGAAACTGAACCGTGTACAGTGATACCGTATAGAATCGGGGCAACTCTGAGTTGAACGATGGCGAGAATCCAGGCGCAGCTGACATTTTGTTCGCACTATTTCCCTCCCGTGTCTCGGTCAACTACTCGGGCTTGGATACTCACATGATGAGTCGCGAGATGATCGAAGATATCATATTAACGGTTTCGAGCGATATACGATGTACGCGAGATCGGAAGAAACGAGCAATTAATGCGGACGGCCGTTTGTAGCACCACTGCTCACAGGTCAACCATGTTGGACTGGCAGCTGGCTGCTGCTGCGCGTGTCGTCACGTCGTGTTTTCGTCACGTGACCACAGGGCTGTACGAACAGCTGGCGTTCTCAAGCACCTTACTCCGATATTTATTTTCTCACCAGAGCTAAAGGACCGGAATGAATTTTCATTTGTCTCGCTCAGAATTGCAATGAAGCATCGTCGGTACAAAAGTCAGGTTCTATCGGTTGTAAAATGCTTGTTTGATTTAACAAATGAACACCAGATTTGGTGATCCTCGACCAAAGCGTCTTAGAACGTAACGAAGAGAAGAAACGTGTTCATGTCGCACGATACACTTGCGATTAATCATCGTCAGAAAAATACCGTGTTTGTAAACACACAGAGGAATGTTTTCCAGACCACCAATCTCGCACAAACGTATAAATCGAGCGGCAAAAAGATCGACGAGATAGCAATTTGTTCGCGTCGAGGATAGCTACGCGTGTCGTGATTTATAACACAACTGCACGTGTTTCCGTTTGTTTTTCTTTTTTTTTCGAGAGAGAGAGAGAGAGAGAGACGAATTTCACAAAAGCAACAACGAGATTCGATATTAAATTGAAAGATTCGGCGAATTTTTTGCTCGAAAAAAATTCTTGAAATTATATTTAGGAAGCAACAGGGAAAGATGCCCAAACTGCCAAAGCCTGCCACCGTAATGCGGCTCTCGAGTGAACACTTCATTCCACTCTGCCAAGAATTGCAGCCCCGCGTATTTCGCTCGCGGTCGGTGTTACGGCCCTAGAGTTTCTCACCCCACGCTGCTGCCATGAGTTGCAGCAATGCAAGAGAACGATTGCGGAGACGTCTCTCCGAAGCGAAGAGAACCGAAGAGAAGAGAAGAGAAGAGAAGA